TTGTTGGGTTCTAACAAGTGTGAGTCTGATATAATTCAAAACCCCTAAATTGATTTGCAATCAAGAACTCTCTCATATTCATATTTATAGAGGCAGTAACACGCATTTTTCTCTGCTAGGCTAGATTTCATAAGATTATATCAAATATTACTTAATCTAATTTTTGGGCTTTTAAAATCCAATATAAACTTAAGACTCGTACCAAACCTAACACTTCAGCATTAAAAAACTATCAATATATAATAATAATAATAATAATAAATAATACAAAGAACAATAACAGGGGGAAATTAACAGCATAAGAATTTTGAGGAAATCCATTCTCATAACACCAGTTTCAGACCATGAAATTTCTTTGATATCTAATTCAAGTAGGCGTATGATGGTAAGCTAAGACAAATGAAACAAACTATCACCAAGAAATAATTCCAGTAAATTCAGATCAGGAAACTCCAATTCACCCTTTCATCTTCTAACACTACAGAGGGGAATATTGTACTCTGTAAAATTAGTCCAATTGCCAAAGAACAAAACCATTTCTAGCAAAAAGTTCCTGCAAGTCTTGAAATAGTTATAAAATGAGATAAAATAAGATTCACCCAAGCCAATGTCGATAAAGGATTTGCTAACTCCTACTATGTAACAATAACATTCTAGCTCAATGTGTACTATGAGATATTGAATGTGTACTGTGAGATATCGAACGTTAGTACTGTATCCAATAACTATTAGACAGCCATCTCAAACAAAATCCATATGCTTGTTTTTGTCATTTCCAATTTAACCAACTCAACAATATATCGATAAGTGTGATTTATGCCCAATGAATGAACAAAAAGAGTAATCAACAATAGTTTTTTGCACAGTATTATGTCATAAACAAGAAAACAAAGTCCTCCAATTCAACACTAAGAAGGCAAATATACAAAACAAGCTACCACATACAATGCTATTAGTCTATTATAACACAGATGTATCACGATGATTAACATATTATTCAACAAACACAGCAACATCACCTCTGAATCCTTCAAGTTTATATCTGTACAGAGATTATCAATATAACACATGCACGGCAGCCCTAGTTTGCTCGGGATCGTATAAAGATAAAGATATAAACTAGCATGCTATCAACTGAGGAATCATTTGTTCGTGTACCATTATCAGTGCTCATTGATTCCAAAAATGCGGACTTTGTGCATATTAGGGAGCTTGGCAACCACCAGGACAATCACTGCAACTGTGTTCAGAAGAAGCATTGGATTTTGGTAATCAGTTGTGTGGGACGCTATCAAATACCTGTAAATAGGAAAGGAATCACGTTGAGATGTGCAAAGATGGCAATCTCCCTTTGTCTAAGACGTGAATTCAAAAGTTAGGTCTTGAAGATGACCTAACAGGAGAGATACAAAGAGCAGTCTAACAAAGATGCATTATATAACATGACATGGTTTAGGCTTAGAATTTAAGAAAGATTGCAGTATGCTGAGCAAGAGAATATTCTAAAGACATGAATGGTTAAGAAGCACACGACAACTTGAATAGTGAAGTCATTAGTCTCAAGACACAGGAGGCAGGATATCTACAAACATAGCGAATAAACTGTTCTTTGCTAACTCACTAATGTAACAAGGGCCAAACAAAAAAAATCTACTAGCAAGAAGCACGAAGTAACATTGAAATACATACTACCCTCTCCATTTGCGGAACCATAACGAATAGATCAACTCCTGTTGCCATAGAATACAGCAACTTTTTGAATGTCCATTAACTCTACCAAGTTGGACTTGAACAAGGGAAAAAAGACAGGAATAAAAAGGATGACTCTGAATCCAAATAACTGTATCTATCACTGCCTGTCAATAAAAGTTTTTTTTTTTAAGTCCAATGCTCTATCTTGATTACTCAACGGTGAGAATAATAATAATAATAATAATAATAATAATAATAATAATAATAATAATAATAATATTGTCTATCCCAGATTTCCGTGTTGGCTAATTCCAGTTCTCCATTGACAAACAATAATCTCTTTTATTAAATTAGAATCTATCACATTCTATTTGCTGCTTCAGTCTGTCATTCTAGTTTATCCTTATAGTCCTAACAACCCCCTTGATAAATTTATATTAAAACAGTGGCAATGACATTTCAGTACAGATCGACAGGACAATCTCTTTAAATAGGATTCATTAGAATCATTACAGACCCTATTTCCAGAAAGAGACAAACAGGTATTTTGTAGACGTGGAAAGAAGAATTGTAAAAGCTCAAATCTTTATCAAGAAATCAAAAACAAGGAAGCTGGATTCCGGTGCAGGCAGCATTTACCCATAATACCATCTACTTCTTAGGTAAACCTTGTTTAGAGTATGAACGACAGTTATCCAACAAAAGGTGAAACTTCGCCCACATAATTCATTAGTCAATTTAAATCCACAATAACTAATTAGACCACCAATCTAAGCCCAATTGCTATTGAAACTTAAACAAGATCCTCAAGTGGGTAGACTCAAATAGGAATTGCCTATCTCAGGGTGCTCGTACACCGACCTGATTGCCTCTATAGTTATATGTAACATGAGATTAAATTTTCATTACTGTGGCAGGTATCACAACCATTATTTTCTGGAATAGCTTCACACTCATCATTGCCTTGGCCTGGAAGCTGTTGAAGTTGATCAATTTATTTCTGCAACTCTCTTATTTAGCTGTTTTCCAGAGAAGACACATGTTGAAGGCAGAATACCTACTTTTGATTTCAACTATACATCATTTTGTTATATAAATATAAAATGATATGGTAGACCTATTATATAAACGATCATAGCTATTTTGGACCAATAATAAACATAGTCATTCAGTGTGATGGAATCAATTTGCATAGATCTTTCTAATGCGGGTGATGGAACGAAACCTAACATGGGCTGCATGTAGTCTTCCTATGATTTTGAGGAACAAAATGATCTTGAAGCTGTAAAACTCTCCACAAATTGGAACACAAATGCACAGGTCAACAAATGGGAATTTCCTTTCACATTTGGATGAAAAATTTGCATGGATTTAAAACCTAACAAACAAAACCCGCATAAATTTTACAGTGTATTCACTCATTCAAATAAAAATAATGCATAAATTCACAGCGAAAATCCTCTCATACCCCTGTAATGATTCTTATCATTATTGATGCACTGAAACTAACAATATCCAAATACAAAAGAGGAAGAAGAAAAAAGGGAAGAGATATACTCACAGGACAACAGGAACAACCATTAAAAACTTTCTATTACGTGTGAGTTGCTTGCCATTGTCCATCTGCTCCCACCAAGTCAATGTATTGTAGATGCCTTGGTCTTCAGCAAATGGAGTTCCCTTCTTCCAGTGGAAGAAGTGATAAGTTACCTGACGTATATAAATCAGCCAAGTTTACCAACGGGAGAACATAAGAAACACAAACAACAACAAAAGAAGAAGAAGAAAACACCAATCAATTAAGGCCTAGTATGTAAAAGATTCTCAATGAACATAACCACAAGAACACAAACAAAAAAGAAAAGCAACAAAAGCAGTAAATGAATTTTGGAGTCAATAATCCTTTCGTAAGTAGGGTCAGCTCACTTTAATAGTATTCAAACTCTCAATCTCTTAATTCCCCTAATCTACTCTGCTATACTTAAAAGGAGGATCCAATATTTTCCTGTTCATGCTACAGTAGATTGCATGTATTTTTTAAGTATAGATCCGTGGATATGATATCTAATTTTAAACATATAATAATCAAATTAAATGTATAAAATCTTAAAGAGGGGAAGGTTCAAAATGTAATACTTAAAATAAAATAAAAAAATTAACCCTCAACACCCTCCCAACCCAAAATTTTGTGAGCATCCCTGTAATAAAACACCGATATATACAATCAAATTGCAATTTGGACCACACGCTAGTAATCAAACCCCAAACCAAAACCAGAAACACCGATCACAAAACCCTAACCAAATCCCCAAATCAAATCAAAACCCAAAAGAAAACCCTAGGGTCAAGCTTTGCTTACAGCGAAGTGGCCGAGGTTGACGGCGGTCCAGGCCATGCCGGGAGAGCAACGGGCGACGGAGAGGACGAGCAGCCATGAGAAGAATAGGATGAGGATGTACGTGGTCCAAACCCCCGGGTACATGAACCACTCCGTGTTCTTGTTCAAATCCGCCGGCGGCCGAGTCTCCACGTACAGCTTCGCCATTGAAGATGAAGGCGATTGCAGGATTCGACCGAGGGTTTCGCTTCGAGATTTTGGGATATTTTTTTATTTTATTTTATTGAAAGGGGGGAGCTTTGACACGAGAAGAGAGTGAAGGCTTTTCGTTTGCGATGGTCCAAGGGCGTGTGCTTTTACTTTTCTTCCCCTCGTGATAACAATTAATTAAGGGAAAAATACTTCCAGCCCCCAAAACTAATGAAAACAAGCTTCCCCCTCCCAAGACTTTTTCAACGCTCTCAAAACCCCCAAATTCGTAACAAATATGCACTGAGCCCCCAAAACACAAAGACCAAGAGTATTAAAATTTGAAGACCATAATACCCTTTCTCTCTCTTTTTCTTTCTTTATCTGTGATGATTTGAAAGGGTTCCTCCGTCCCTTTCCCCGATGGCGGCCGTCATCATGTCCCTCAGCAGGGTCCCCACCTCCGCGATGAGATTGCCCCCTCTGCCGTCAACCTCGCCGTCACGAGCATCGCCCCGCGCACCGGTATCCTCCCAGGATCCACATCAGCCTCCCCAACCTGGGCCCCACCATAGTAAAGCTGGAGAGAACGAAGCATAGTTAGGGTTTTTGATGAGGAGGTCGAGGGTCATGTTGAGCTCCACGCGGATGGCCGGGAACGTGACACGTGGAGAGACGCCGGTGACGGCGAGGATGAGCAGGAGGAGGTGATGAGCAAGAGGAGGATGACGAAGTTTACGGCGGCGGTCGTGGTGCATGTGCGTCGGATTTTCAAAACCTGGATTTTGTTTTAGGTGGTGGGCACTTGCTGTGATTTCGTGGCTTCCTCGGTTCGTTTTGAGATTGAGGAGGTGCAAGAAGGAAGTGGGTCATGTTAGTGATTTTAATATTTTTTTTATTTTTTGAAGGGTTAATTGAGGAGGTGGAAGAAGGAAGTGGGTCCTGTTAGTGATTTTAATCTTGTTTTTTTTGTTTTTTGAAGGGTTAATTGTTGGTAATTTTCTTTTTTCTTACTGATTTTTTGTAAGATTCGGAAACATATATAACAATATATTTTTAGAAAATGAATATTTCACTTTTAATTTTTAGGGAAATTATAATAATATTTCACTTTTAATGAGATTTTCAAAAGCCAAGTGATTTACGCGTTGGTTGTGAAGGTTACGCGTCGCTTGTTAAGGTTACGTGTTGCTTGTTAAGGTTACGTGTTGGTTGTTAAGGTTACGGGTTGCTTGTTATGGTTACGGGTTGATTGTTAAGAAATTTTTGCATGGAACTGATGATGGCTACGATATTCTACAAACCTTATTCCGGGTTACGGGTAACCTTATTGCTAAGAGCCTAAGAGCCTTGTTGCCAAGGTTACGTGTTTGTTGTTTAGATTACGGGTTTGTTGTTAATGTTACGGGTTTGGTTGTCAAGGTTACGGGTTGATTGTCAAGGTTAATTTCACAATAAACATGTAACATTAACAACAAACGCGTAACCTTGACAACAAACCCGTAACCTTGACAACAAACGCATAACCTTAACAACCAACCATTATTCTTAACAACGAATATTCTAATTAGTTGTGAAATTAACCTTGACAACAAACCCGTAACCTTGACAACAAACGCATAACCTTAACAACCAACCATTATTCTTAACAACGAATATTCTAATTAGTTGTGAAATTAACCTTGACAACAAACCCGTAACCTTGACAACAAACGCGTAACCTTAACAACCAACCCTTATCCTTAACAACGAATATTCTAATTAGTTGTGAAATTAACCTTGACAACAAACCCGTAACCTTGACAACAAACGCGTAACCTTAACAACCAACCCTTATCCTTAACAACGAATATTCTAATTAGTTGTGAAATTAACCTTGACAACAAACCCGTAACATTGACAACAAATGCGTAACATTAACAACCAATCATTATCCTTAACAACGAATATTCTAATTAGTTGTGAAATTAACCTTGACAACAAACCCGTAACCTTGACAACAAACGCGTAACCTTAACAACAAAAGTGTAATCTTAACAACCAAAATATATATACCAAAATATAAATCCCAACGTGTAACCTTAACAACAAACACGTAACCTTAACAACAAATCCGTAACCTTAACAACCGACCACTAATCTTAACAACCGACGACAAACCTTAACAAAACACAATAGGAGACAAATAATCAAACTTCAGGCTTAACATAGATTCTATTTATGCCATAAAGGAAAACATATCTCAATACTAAAACCTCACACACGCATAAATTAATTCGCATCCATCAAAGAACACCAACAACAAACTACAACCCACAATCAAAGATACTCTTTTTTTATTCCCACATACAATAACACTATTATTTAGTAAAAACAACCTGAAGCAAAGAAACAAGACAAATGCTACCTAAGTGGTGAGGATGGGGGGCATGTAATCAGACTTGGTTCAAATAACACGAGCCTTTGTATCGGGGAAAAACTCCGTCCTTGGGAGCTCTGTAACAACTCCTTCACTGCTTACTCCAATGGGATAGCTAAGTAAATGTCCAGGGAGATCGCGTTCCTGAGAGTAGAGATCCCAGTATTTGTCAGCGATACGCTTCACTTTCTGTACAAACTCGACGCTCTCTAGATGGAGGAAGAAATCAGATCGTCAATGCCGGGGAGACGGACTGCTCGATGATGGCGACGTTGATGTCGGGGTTCTTGGAGAGCTCGTAGGCGCAGGAGAGGCCGACGGATTCGCCGCCACCGCCACCGCCGCCGCCGCCGACGGTGTTAGCGTAGGTGATTATGTCGGACATGTAGCGGCGGGTCATCTCGCGGGAGACGATGGATTCTTTGATGGGGCGGAAGCAGATGGAGGAGAGGTCGTAGGATGTGGAGATTTGGGGGCGGAGGATGACAATGATAGGGAGGAGAAAGATTGGGTTTTGAAGGCGGAGATGAGCTTGAGGCCATGGAAGGAGGAGAAAGAGAGGAGGTTGCGGTGGTTAGGTTTGGAGAGGAAGGAGGATGTGACAATGGAGGGTATTATGGTCTTCACGTATCTTAATTTCTTGGGTTTTGTGTTTTGGGGGCTCAGAGAACACAGAGTTTACTTTTGGGGGTAAAACACACGTTGAAAAAGTCTTGGGAGGGGGAAGCTTGTTTTCATTAGTTTTGGGGGCTGGAAGCATTTTTCCCATTAATTAATTAATGAAGGAGGTGGAGTCCGATTGCTTTCAGCGCAGTTTTCGGGTCCTCTCCTCCCTCGAAAATCTGCCGTTTGGCCATCTTATATTCACTTTGTAGAAGATTCCAGGATTTTTTTTTTGGGTGTAATTTTGGATTTTGGCATATTTAGACCCACATATTTCTGTTAATTTATATTTGACCCTCTTATATTACTAAGTTAGACTCTAAATCCTGATATTTGTTCGAAATGAGGGTCACAATAATAGGGGTGGAACTGAACTAAATAAGTAACAACTAGTTCGATAATTATTCGAATAACTATTCGGTTATATTTGTATTATCGCACATATGATGTCATATTTTTAACTCATTTATCATTTCTAGTTAAGTTTTATGTACTAATTTTAAGACTTAAATAATATTAAATCTATTTTCTAATAAAAATTTGATCTGACTGTACATACATCATATATTATAAATGAATAATTTTTATTTATGAATTTAAATATTATTTGAAAATCAAATTCTTTAACAGAATAAATATATTTTGATATTTCGTAAGTATTCGTGAATATTCATGGATATTTACCAAATACCAAGTATTCGAGTTCGAATTCGAAAAACTCCATATACGAATATTAGAGGCCACATTTGAATTCAATAATTTTTAACATATACAAATACAACACCATAGTATTCGATTCAATTCGATCGTTTACCACCCTTACTCATTTACTAATGTAGGCGTCAAAAAATGCTAATAGATATCCCAAGCATAGAGAAGATCACTCAAAAATTCACAAG